CTCGGTGTTTGATAGTCGTTGCAGAAAGTTTCATGTTACGGGATAACGCTTTGTGGCCTTCGCACGAACTCTCAGTGTGCGACATTAGGGATCACGGTGATGAATTCTCCGGGTAAACAGACGGGACATCCGTAAAGAAGCTCGACTGAATATCCTATGTCTTCTTTCAGTGAAACCCGTAATCCGACAAGAACCAAAGGTAAAGCATTTACCCAAGATTTGCTTTGTTATAAATGACATTTCAAGCTTGCCTTTATAATCCTGTGTTGTCGCTAAATCAATCCGTTCGATTATGGATGGTATGCCGCTATTCTAGATTTTTGAAAACCGAAGAATTTTGTCAAAGATGAGAAGAGCCGATTTTCAAACTGACGTCGCTGTGGAATTCCAAAAAAAGAGAAATGCAGGTTGAAATCATTCCCTTTGAATCTTCTGATTGATCCACCATAGGATCCGCCATAGGTTTCTGCTGATTGATCTGCCATAGAAAGAGCTTCAGCCCATCTTGAAAAACGACAAATCATCCTTAGTAAGTATCTGAAACTTTGACATGAAGGCAAGAGTCCAACAATATCAATGTGAACGTGTTGAAAACGTTCAGGGGCAAACTTGAAGTCCATAAGAGCTAACTTTGTATGTCTTTGAACCTTTGATCGTTGGCATTCTATACATTACCTACACCATAACTGACAATATTTATTGATATTTGGCTATATGAACCTTTTCGTGATTAATTTTCTTGTGCTTCTAATCCCCGGATGAGATAGGGTATGAATAGAAGAAAATATCTGTCGGCGAAAGTGAGGGGATGTATGGGCGGTTACTATTGGTAGAAACATCACAATACATCAACTTGTCGGTGCCTGGAACGGGAATTTGAACCATTCTCAGCCTTAGGTTGTTTTTGAAAATATTTATCTGTTCATCACCTTGAAATTTTGCAATAGCTGCGCAATTGATAAGAGATGGTATTAATTCTCGAAAGAGCAGCTGCAACACCGTTTCCTTCAACCTTGACGAAGCGAATATTCGTTGAAAATTAAGCAATGTAACTCAATTATCTTAGTTGTCTGGGAGTGGTTTGTCTAAATTTTGTTGAAAAACAAAGATGAGAGGTTTGTGGTTCGTATAAATGTTGAAATACCTTATATATAATATATATATATATATATATTATATAATATATGTACCTAAAATGCTTTATTGCAGTGTAGATGGACAAGAGCTCTCGATCACATGCGATGTACGTTCTTTGTATGTCAGTTAAGGAGCGTGAGAAGAAACTTAATGGACGCATCACTCCCTGGTCAATTTGATGAATAACGGCCCCGATAGCTGTATCTGAAGCATCACATGTGAGAGATATAGTAGCGTCAGTTGAGGGATGAACCAGCATAGTAACGTGAAAAAGCGCATTTTTGAGGTTTTTGAATGCATTGGCCGTTTTGGGGATGTCGTTTTCGTGTATTGGAACTTGTTGATAAGCTTTAATTGAGTCAATGAATGAAAAAGTCTTCTTTTCATGTAGAATATAGCCACAGTCGGTGAGGAATGGTAGAGGATATCAATCAGGAGTGATGCTATTATTAAGAGCCCTGTAATCTCCACATGGCCTCCAATCACTTGATTTCTTTAGGGTGAGGGTCTTTTAGGGTTTAGAGAAAACTGACCCAACAACTTTTCGAAGGCCTGCAAACTCAAAATATTAACATAAACTCAAAATTGGCTTTTGCTGCTTTTAATTTTTCGGCTGAGAGTCTTCTAACCCTAGTGGTCTTCTAACCTAGTCATCTGTGGTTGTGTCCAAAGTGGCACACTGATTAAATAGAGCTTCGAAAAGAGTGCTGAAAACAAGCATTGTTGTCAATGAATTGATCGATGAGATACGGAGTAACAAAGAATACAGACTCTCAGTTTTCCTGGATTATTGGTGAGCCCGGTCTGGCCACACATAGGGTTCGCCGTTTGATTTTAGTCAAGATTTCAAGGTAAAATTTAAAATTAATATAGAATAAAGAGATTAGCATACAGGCAAAAAATAACATAGAATATGTTTTTCAAACAATTCCTTTTATAGCCTAAAAAATCTGGAAGATTTCTTTGAAAAATGAGGGTCTTGAAAAACTAAATATGGCTAAAATATATGGACTGGTTTGTGTTGAGCTGCCATCTACTATAAATAAAGGAGGTTCAGAGTAACCTATAAATCCTTTTTTATTCAGTTTTTCTGTGCATACAGAAGGAAAGTTTTAGGTGTGTCCAGACCGGACACACTGTGCCGCAAAGGGTTTTAATGAAAGCTTCACCTATCTTATCTGAAGCTAGATTCTTCATTTCGCATAACAACTGTGAAGGTTTTCTATCACCTAACTCCACCTCAGTTAATAATATTTGGGTCTTTTAAGTTTCGATTTCGGCGAAGATGGAAATTAATCTGTGCTTAAGAGCCACGTATTTGTCGTCCCCTGAGGGATTGATCGGAATGGCCAACACTTGTGATAATATTTCAGCGGCAATGGAACTCACGACATAATCGTATTTTGTTTGATCTGTAGCAATTGCAGCATTTCGAAATTGAGCTTCCCGTTGGAGAAACCATATCTTTGGGTCCGGTTTCCAAAACGCTGCGACTTTAATGCTAACTCTAGCGATCAATGTCGAAGTGTCGCATTTGTTTTCCATTCGTTTCCCATTTGTTCTTTTTAATTAAGAAAGCCACATTCGATGAGTATTTTTACTTTAAGTTGTAAAACGAGTATCATATCTCATTACGTTTTTAAGAACCAGTACACACTTATAAAAGTCGAAGGGAATTAATCAGAATAAAGAGATCAACTCATCGGTCATTAAATGTGATTAAAAATGTGTCACACATCTTACGAACATCTGTCTATGTTTAAAATTGTCTGATCTAGTGAGTTACGGATCTTTAAACAACGTCAGAAGAAGTTTATTATCTAACTTTGAAATAGTATTTAGCTTTGAAAATGTTCATATATGTTTACTCATTTTTTATATATCCATTTCAGTTACATGTTCAAATATTTAACACTTCTTTAACTCACTCAACTCTTGCCTTTGTTTTTCATTTTCGATTCTGTCCGATAGTCACCAGTGAAGTGCGTTGCGTAAAAGCTAAAGTATCATTAATGTACTACAAAGAACTAACTTCTTTAAACTAGATTATTACTTCTAGTTTTAATATGTAAGTAAAAAGTTATTTTCAAAGATTCTATCACTTTTTCCTAATATTTTATGAGCAATAAAGTTTCATATGATTAAAATTACTTTAATATGGGATCTTGCGAGAATGTTTTCATGTTTTTGTTATGCCTCAACGAAATAATTTAATAATTAAATTATTTATATAATTGAAAAACAGTGTGCTTCATAAATATAACGTATTTGTTTTCACGCATTCCGAGTAGTGTAAACTTCGGAAATAAATCTTACCAAGCTTAAAATAACTTTCCGACATCTTCAAAAATTTAAAATATCTTTAGTATATAAAAAAACTTAAAATACTTTTAATGTAAATGAAATCTTAATGTTTCGAGTGAGTTTGTGTTTTGGCTTGAATGTTTTTTGTATATGGAGTACATATTGCATAAATATGCTAATAAAAGTTTTTAATCCTTTCTTTATAATTTGAAAAAGAACTGTGTAGCAATATGTTGTGTTGATTTTATTCGAACACAGTCATGTAGAATGGAGATCGTTCATTGCCACATTAGGAAACAAGCTCAACAGTATTTCGGCTTCATAATGAAAATGTATATTCCTCATTCTCTCTTGCTCTTCTGCCCTTAAGAAAGCTTAATAACAATAGCTTTAATCCTTGTACTAAGCTTGGGTATATAGTACTGTTGTTTTCTATATGGATGTTGTACTAGAAGTAGAGAACGTCAAACAAATCCGTAGCAAGTATACAAATATGGTGATAGAAACATCTGTTTCTTTTAATTGAAATAATGACTCTATCAGAGTTCTAAAGTTGGGGGTGTGCGACTGCTTTGTCAGGTCTAAGTGAAAAATTATCAGTAATGACGAGAAATAACCAAGTGTTATAATGAATACTGCTAAAATAATTGAATTTGCAGAAATTTTAACTTGTTATTGAATAAAAGTGAAAGTACCTAACTGCCTTTTAAAAGTTAAGGAACAGAAGGTTTTTTTGTGTCTAATTTTTAAGAATGAAGCAACACAGCAACAAGAAATTGACAAGACATGTTAACTAAACAGTTCTTTAATGAATGCGACATAGAATGTTTCTAAAGTTTAAAATAAACATGAATTACAACAAAAAATTGCACTCTTGGAGGAGAAATTGAGTCTTGGAGAAACAGAATATCACAGTTTTTTGAGGAAAATGGTGTGGTAACGTTACAAAAGTGGGTTCTAATAAGGAATGTGTACACCCCCTAGCTGCAATACATTGGTTGCAGCGACATTCCATGTTGTCAATTAAGTTCTCGGTCATTAAAATAGAAAGCAATGACCAGACACGGTGCAATCCTTGTTCAAGCTCATCTAACGACCTTGGAGGGGAACTTAAAGCAGCAACTTGTCCCCTAAAGTAGTCCCAAAAATGCTGTATCTGATTCAGGTCTGGAGATTAAGTTGGCCATTCCATCCGCTCCATAACATGACCCTCAATATATTGAGCAACTCGGACTGGGTGCGGTTGCGCTTTGTCGTCCATCAGAAGAAATATAGGGCCAATAGCAGAGTCATATGGGTAGACATAATTGACCAAAGATCTCGTCTTGTTATCTCACACCGGTCAAAGGTCCTCCGTGGAACACATGCCGATCAGTGTGACCACCGAGAAGGATCCTAGCCCAAACCATTATTAAACTACCTCTGTAACTGCGGCTTCCCACAGTGTGAGATTGGTTGTATTTGGTGCGTTATTCCCTCCAGATCAGGTGATTGCCTGAATCACTGTGAACGTGGGCTCCTCTGTGAAGAGAACAGACTGCCATTGTTGACTGTTTCAGGAGATGTGTTCTCTTGTCCAACATAAACATGCACCTCTGTGTCCTCGTGTCAAGGGGATACAAATAATTGATCTTCTTACATACAGACCTGTATTGCGCAGGCGTCTGGGCACTGAAGTACCTGAGCCACTGATCTGCCATGAGCCACTTATCTGCCATGAGCTGAGGCACAGTAATGTTACTCCTTCTTCAGGCCAAAAGAGCTAACTAACTACCTCCCGCAAGTATTCTAACTCTAGGTTTGCCTGGAACATGTTTTCTAGGCACAGAATCCTCGGATTTAACCTGCTTTCATAGTCTGTTCACCACACTACGAGAGACATTGAGACATCTAACAGCATCAGCTTGTAACGTCTCCATTTCCGTCCTTCCGATCGCCCACCGCCTCAAAGAATCGGGAAAACGACTTCTCCTGGACACTGACAGACACTCCTGGATATTGTCAACGAAATTGTAATAACAACTGAAGATCACCACTCGTGAACACAAATTAAACGTTTTGCATTTTTTCTCCAACACCTATATAAGTATTGACTTCTATTAAAAAAAATGTAGTAGCTATTGTTTTTGCATAGGTTTTCTTAAATTTCGTTACTGTCATGCATATGAACTGTGCATTTAAACGTTACTGGCATTTTTGTAATGATGAGATTTGAAAAATATGAGATTCTTTAAATTTTTGAAGTGCAGTGTAATTGCAAGGAATTAATTTTACTGTAATAGTTACTGACCAAACTGTATACCAAAGCAACGATATTAGTTTTATCTAAACTCGTCCATACCATTTATATTGTTCGATTATCTATCCATCATGTGTAGCCATCCCTTTTCCCGCTTTGCTATAGCCAGTCGTATAAAACGATTGGCACTCGGTTATAGCTTTAACATTGAGATAATCATAAAATTAGTTGTAGGGTTTCGTTTTCTTAACAGTTATATTCCTTTCAAATTTGTTTGAATATAAAGTTTTGTTTTACTCAGTTTAAGTTCTTTTTGAATTGTTAAATGTTAGATTTATTAATATAAAAACCATCAAGCGTTTAAAAATGTTGATTTTTTTAAAACGAACAAAAAAATATAATAGATAATATACCTCTGTCTGAGTATTTCCAAAGGATTAGCTGAGGGCTGGAATAAAGCTATTACTTCGGTAATATATAGGCCGACTAGCGGTAAAAAAGTTCAAAACAGCAGTCTTATAAAAGCAAAGAAAGTATATTTGATGAATGTTTAGTATAGAATTTCACTCACAAAAGGCGAGGACAACTGCAGTTCTCAACATATACGAAGTTTTATCAAATAGAAGAATGAACTTTTCATTAATGTAGAATCATCAGAAACCAAATACCAAAATTAATAAACCTTTTCCAGTCATTATCTAAACGTCCTAATGTAAAAGCGTACCTTTTATCAGTTAATACAGGTAATGGAAAAGTGATTTAAATTATTCTACATGTTATCATATCGCTAAACCTTTTAAAAACAGTACAATTGGTTGAGACCTTAATACTTCTCAATGCATGTTTGAAGAACCTATTTGAAAAATAACAGCATTCTCTTCTCAAGCCACATAATTTCTTTTTGGGTTATACTGCCAATTTTTAATTAGACAAAAAAATAGAAAAAAAATCTATTTTTTTCCGAATATGTTGATGTCAGCACCAATGTATTTAGCGGCTTAGAAATCGAGTCTTAAATATTAGTTTTAAATTAAGGATGTACGAAGTTATATAAAATTTCACAATTCAATAATAATACGATGAATATTTTACTGTGGTACAACATTATTTCATGAATACTTAGGTTTTGTTATAAGTTTAGATCTCATCAATAATCAATTAAAGTCATCAATTTAACTATCTTCTTTCATTTCCGTCTTAGAATGACTGATACTCAAAACAATTTTTGTTCATTATTGATGGTGTTCTATATTTTGGATTAAATTAAATGTATTATCATTGCACTTACTTAGAATAGATGATATCAATGCGTTTTTCTGACGCCGTTTATTTCAGCCCATCAATTTTAAGGCAATAAAATAATTATTTTGGAAATACTGCAAGCCTGTGAAGGAGTGGGTTAGAGATTTGAAAGGAAAGATTAACGGCCTACTATGTTAACAAAATCTTATTAAGTGGTACGTGAAAGAGAAAAGATTGGAAGTTGCAGCTTTAGATGCTTAAAAGATTTCAAACAGAAATATTGAATAATTATATCATTTATTTATTTACCATCAGATGAGCAGCTGCACCGCCTTTAAGACATTCAGCTTTTATGCTCAACTGATGGAATGATCTACCAACTGTGTTGTTATATATAAAATACAATAAAATTTTAAAATTTTGATAATTACATAATAAAAATTAAATATCAAGAAATAAATATATAAATACATAAATAGATACAATAAATAAACATTAAAAATTTAGAATTAGATAAAAGCTTAAATACACTATTGTTATGCATGAATATAGTATTAGAATTTTGAGAATTATACAATAAAAAATTAAAAAAAATAAATATATAAATACATAATACCTATATAAATATATAAGTAAATGAAACATAAATACGTAAGTAAATACTTAAGAAGATCATTACAAATTTTGAAAATGAACAATCAACATAATGTATGAGAATAGTAGAGGCTGAGAATGTAAGTTGTGTAAAGAGATTAGAATAAGAGTATCGTTTTTGATTATGGAGAGTGAAGAGCAGTAATTGAATAAAAGTTGATGAGAAATGGTATTTGAATGAATTAGGATGACTTGAATGAAAAGTGCTTAGAAATTCTTGATAGAGGGTAATTCTTGAGTAAACGTTTTGACTAATAATTTTGAGTTGAGGCTTTATTAATATATTTAAGATTAGTATATTAAAGATAAGGAGTTAGAAAATATTCTTAAATTCTTGATTGAGCTTGGTAAATGAACAGATAATATGATTTCAAGTTCCTTTAAGATTATCGATGTTTTCCGAGATATAATTCATTATATTTTGAAGATGATTTCTTAGAATATTACTTTTTAATAACTGTTGAAACTATAACTTAGCAGAAGTTAAATTGTATGTTTAAGGTGATAATCTTTAGTAAGGTTGAGGTGAAATAGATAATGATCTGTTGTGCCTTCATTCCCACAGGTACAGAGATTTGTATGGTGAAATCCAAATCTGTGAAGGTATGGTATTATGTAAACCTTTAACTACTATGACTTAAATTGTCGCATAATTACTGTGAGCGGTCTCTCAGATCGCTTCTGCTAAAAACAAAATAAGATATTGTATTATTTTTCATATTCGAATAAATGTTATGTAATTTCAGATATTTAACTTTTTTATGAAGGTGTAAAGCAATTTTTATACTTAAATGAATTCATTAAAATAAAGTATATACTATGCATAATAATTCCTTCATTTAATTTGCTTTGCTGACGTACCTTAATGGAAGAAGGGAATTTTAAAATTCAACTTTTTTTATTTTACATTAAAATTTGCGATAAGAATGCTTTAATAAGAATATAGAAAATTAATTTTTATTTTAAGAATTATAATTCGAGCTGTATTTTATACATACTTTTCTACTGCATTGTAGACACACTGGTTCTTTGCATGCTATACATTTGTAAGCTGTTTTCCTTTTTAGCTCGGTGAACAAATATAACAGATCTTTTTTTTTATCATCTTCGATTGCAATCTTTCCTTCATCATCATTTATTCCGAAAACTCTTCTTATTGTAAGTTTGAGTTCTTTAGGTAAAAATGATGAGGTTATCCTTTGTTTCACATGATACTGCACCAACTGATTTGCTAATGAAATCATGAAATCTTTTCGTTGCAGTTTCGGAGCTATTAGATAAGACTGAAATAATACGAATGCATTTATTGCACAGATATCCAAGATTCTGAACAATATTGCCATAAGCCAACGTCGGGTTCGACAAACAGTTGAATAGATTGAACATTTCTTGTCAAAGTCTTCCACACCACCTTTGGTTAAGTTATACATGGCTATTGTTATGTCGTGGAGCAAAAAGAATTTTACTTTACACCTGATTGCCACTGGCTCCGACATAGCAATGTGAATACTCTACATCTAAAATTTTAAACACCATTCCAGAATTTTTTAAATGTTTATTTAATAGAAGTCTATTCATATATTTGCAAGTTATACACTATAAACACAATAACAAAAAATTTAACTTCTGCACCAGCGTGAATAAGCCTGGCATAATATTCTGAACTCGACGCAACTTTAGGAGTTAAAATACAGCAAATTCAAACACAAGGCTTTTATCCTTTTCAACGCAGCTAATTTTCTAAATATATTTTACTAATATCTGCAGCGGGGCAGCGGATTCCATTTCATTCACCCAAAACTCAAATGTTATAACGCAATAGTATCGCAAAAGACGTAAAAAACCTCGACTCAAAATCAAAATTAAAATCTATAGAATATCATCCGCTGTTGCCATTCCAGCATTGCCAAGTTTTTCTTCCTGCAGCTGTTGCCAGACTTATCCTCGCTGTATGTGAGAGGTACAACATCCTCCCACCCTGATTTTCTCAAAATCAGACATTGCACAAAATTTTCTAACATTACGAATAAAACAAAACAGTACTATGTATTAGTTTAGAAAACACATAAAAGAAACTCGGTTAACATACAATATATATGACAGATCATACTAAAATGAGATCAATAAAGAATAAACTTCTAATTAAAGTCATTGCTAAAGAAAAGAGGATATAAGTCCAAAACGTCTTATTGTACATTATGTCTAAGAGCATGTCCTTGGTTTTAAGAGTCTACCGTATCTAGATCTGTTTTCAATTGCCAGAGTTAGCACAGGATCACTGGTAGTTGAAACTTCTAGTGGGTACAGTTTTGATTGGTTTTACCAAATATCCACTGCTTGTTTTTACCTGTACCACTCTAGTAGCCCCATCTCTACTATTGAATATTTTTAAAATTTTGCCCATTGGCCACATTACACGTTTCTTTATTGTCTAGTTCTATGAGGACTACGTCCCCCACCTTTAGGTTTTGACATGAAACGCTTTCTTTCTGCTCCAGTTGAGCCAGATATTCCTTGCGGAAGCGACTTCTCAGTTCTTGTCTCAACGTATTGCAGTAATTTACAGGCACATTCAGTTTCTGGGAATCGATGTAATCCAGATCTGGTACTCTAACTTGTTTTATGTCTTGCAAAAACAGGGAAGGTGTCAGAGGTACGAGATCTTCCGAATCATCATAGATGTACGTTAAAGGACGGTTGTGTAATGTGGATTCAACATCACACAGGACAATCAGTAACTCCTCGAAATTCACCGACGATCTCCCTAGAATTCGCACTAGAAGAGTCTTGGTGGAACGAACTAAGCGCTCCCACCATCTATCCACACCTCGCAGCCGTAGGGGGGGGGTGAATTTCCATTTTATTGGAAAACACTCGTTTTATGTGATTTTTCTCCAATCCAGGCATCTCAGAGCATTGTCTGCTCCGATAAAATTGGTTCCATTATCTGAATACACTGTTGCAGGACGGCCTCGTCTGGCAATGAACCGTCTCAGAGCCTGTAGAAACGTTTCGGTACTCAGAGAGGTGATAGGCTCCAGGTGAATTGCCCGGTATACGGCGCAGGTGAACAAGACGATCCAAGTTTTACTCTTAGGTCTCAGAAGTGAAGGTCCACAAAGATCCACTCCAGTTGTTTCAAAGACTGCCAATCTCTTATTCTGTCAAGGGGTAACTGGATCGGAGGGGTAGATAAAGCCTTAGAGGTAAATCTCCTACATACTACACACTGACTTACGCAAGATCTTATACTACGTTTCGACGAAATGATCCACTATCGCTCTCTCAACTTAGCAGCTAATATCTGCACTCTCGCATGATAGTTCTTCTCATGATACTCTCTTATGAGGCATTCAGTTAAATAATGCTTGGACGGAAGCAACAGGGGATAAAGGAAGCAGAATTCATCATCACGTTCAATGATTTTAGTTTTAACTCCGAGGATTCCGTCGTTATCTCTCACTACCAACAATCCATGGACGGAATCTCCTTTCTCTTGAAAGTGCTTCCTTTGCTCTAAACTCCACAAAAATGTCTCGGCTTTAATTTTTTCTTCTACTGTTAAGGTATCCGAAGAATACGAGGGCTTCTTTAGCAGTTTATTAGTAAAGTGTAGAACCTAGCAGAATACTCGAACTATTTTAGAAAAACTCGAAAAGCGTTTGTACCACTCAGAATCTTCTAATTTTTTACTCAAATTGGCAAATACTCCCTTTTTAATTTCTGCTGCAACAGAATTTTCGTCTGGAGTAAGCTCAAAGTCTGGCCATTCTTTCGGAGAGCTTTTTCAGAAATTCGGGGCCCTCCCACCAAATGCATTGCCGAAAATGTTCAGGCGTACAGCCACGAGATGCCACATCTGCCGAATTCAATTTCCCAGGGATATGTCTCCTACATTCCTGCTTCAAGAGTTTCCGAATCTTCTTTACTGTATTATTCACAAATACTCCCCAGTTTTCCTCTCGTTGTATCCAGCTAAGAGCCACAGTAGCGTCTGTCCAGTAATATATCGGGACATCGACTAAGCACAGGGTTTCAACAGTATACCTTGCCAAGCGTGCACCTAGAACACAGGCTAGCAACTCCAAACGCGGAATAGTTATTTTCTTTAAGAGCGATACGCGTGATTTTTCTATGACGAATTTCACGAAAACTTCGTCTTCTTCCTTACTTCGTAAGTAAATGACAGTTGCATAAGCAGCTTGACTGGCACCGCAAAAGACGTGTAGAGTCCATGAATCCTTAATTCCATGACTCATGCGACGAGGTAATTTAAGGCGGGAAAGACTAGACATCCTTTCGTACCATCTCTCAAATCTTGTTTGAAGTTCATCTTGTAATGGCTTATCCCAGTTCGATTTTGTTGCCTAAGCCTCTTGAAGAATTAATTTCGCAGGTAATATGACGGGCACAAAGAAACCTAGCGGGTCAAAAACAGCATGGATTAGAGACAATAGTCTTCCTTTTGATAAGTCTCTTTTAACGATTTCTCTTTGGACGGATATTGTAAGGCTGTCATCTCGTCGGTCCCACTGCAAGCCTAGAACTGCGGAGACTGGATCACTATCTTCAGCTGCTAGCTCATGATCACCATATTGATAAAAAGTCCACATTCGAAGATCTATTTTGGCTTCTGCCATAATAGTAATCGACTGGCTCATAAAATCCTTTAGCTCTTCGTTATCATCGACTGACGTGACACAATTGTCAACATAAAATGATTTGGCAAGTTTATTCGGAACAGCTTTGAATTCATGTGAAACGGGAACAAATGAAATGAAATCACAGCTGCCAATAAATAGGGGCTACTAGTTAACCCAAAAACAACCCTCTTGTGACGAAACACTTCAATTCTATTATTTACCCACCACAAAAACTTTTAAGTAATTTTGATCCTCATGCTCTACCTCAATCTGTAAAAAGGCCCGCATAATATCGGATGTTACACCAATTGCCTTTTCCCTAAACCGCATTAGAATGGCTGAGATTTCTTCTGCTGGTTTGGACCTTTTATCAAGCAATCATTTAACGAAAGCGAACCAACGACTTTGCTCGACGCATCGAATACAGGCCTAATCTTGGTAGTGAGGCTACTTAATTTTATTACTGGATGGTGTGGTAAATAATGCCCTCCGTCATTCTTTACTGATTTTGGAACAATTTGTACGACATCTTCCGCTAGCCATTCGTTAAATACTGTACTATACTCATCAAATTTATTTAATTTTCTCAAATTTTTCGTAGTAGCAAAGAGCCTCTTTTCTGCAATATGCCAGTCAAAGGGAATATCAGGAGGGAATTTTAGAGCCCAAGGTAAACTCAAACAATAGCTACCATCTCCGGTTCTGCGAAGGCCCCTAAGAAACTGCTCTTTCGCTGCTTGATTTTCTGCGACCCTGGAAATGCTTTGCGCATCATCTGCAATGCCGATAGTTTCTAACTTCCACATAAAGAAAGGTTCCATGCCTTGAATAAGAAGATTAGTTACTAACATAGATGGGGTACTCTCAAAACTTTGGACAATCGTTCTTTTCGATTCCCCGCACAACGTTCCTCCCAGTTTAGTATTTATGACTGTCAAACCACCCTCAAGCTGAATTACTTCACCAGTATTTGCCCATAAATATCACTCCCTATGAGGATTTCTATTTCCGGGTGACCCTCACCGACATCTGAAGTCCAAATTCTGTGTTTTTTTAATTCCTTCAATAACGGTCCTTTAGGTATGCGTGGTATGCCTCCACAAATGGTATTTTGATCCAGAAAACTAAATTGGTACACTTTGTTTTTCCCAACCGGGCTTAGACCTATAGAATATCTCTTGTGAATTTTTGACTCAGTCCTTGTCTGCCAAATAACGCGTGTGTTAAAGTCTCAGAGGAAGTGCTTTTCAGATTTAAGCTTCAACTGTGGATTGTTAAACGTAAGATCGTTGGGATCCACAATCCAAGAGGCACCTGACCACCTTCTTTACAGTGCCTACAACTATTTCAACCATTAACGTCATAAGTGTGACCTCATTCATACATAAGGGAGAGGACATTGTACTTTGTACCATTTCTGACTCGTTTCGTTTTTCCTTATTGTCAGCATTGTTTTCTGATACCTGCGGGCATAAAATTATAGGGTGAGATTGCATACACAAATAGCATTGAATAAACTGTGGACACTTCTTCGCAAAATGCCCTGGTTTAAGACAGCGGAGGCAGCATTTTAATTCTCTTAATTTGTCTAATCTTTCCTTTAAGCTCATTGATCGAGCTGTAAAACATTCTTTGCTTTCGTGAGATTTTCCGCAAAAAAAAACACATTTTTGTTCTTTGACAGAACTAGACTTGCTGCGCTAGCGATTGGTTTTTTGGTTTTAACTTTTACATCTTTAGAATGTTCATTGCGCGAAGTAGAAGAAATTTCAAATCCAGACCTGGCTAGTCTAACTCTCTGCTCTCCTTCGACCTCTTTACGCAAAAATTCCAGGAGATTTGTGAGACGTGATCCTTATTTACTGAACAAAACGCTTCTCTGTCATACTCGAAGCATCTCAGCAGACAGACAAGACTCGACCACGAGATATAACCAGGAAGCATTAGTATCCAGGGCTAAGCCTAAAGACTCTAGAGATCTGAGATGGGATTCGATTTTTTCAAACAGTGACACTAGCGGCAACCGATCCTTCCCTTGTGAGCGTACATTTTGGATAATTAATTTTAACAATTCCCTCACATATATCTCAGTTAAAATTTCCTTGTTTCCAAAACGCTCCTCAAACGCAGAAATGGCTTTCGGGTAATTTTCAGCCGTTAAAAGATAACTATCAACTCACTAGCCCGAGTTCCGGGTAACATTGATTGAGCTAAATAATGGAATTTGTCAACGTAATTAAGCTCCTTATCCTCATGGATCCTTTTAAATTGACCCCAACTGTAAGGTAACTTAATAATTGTCCATCGAATTTTTTAATTTGAATTTTGTACCGTTTTTCATTAGAACCACTTATGCTACTATCCGTGTTAGAACTCTTATTGACACTACGGTCACCGCATTATCTATATTCTCTTTCACCCGACGATTAAGCGTGATAAACTCATCTGAATATTCTTCGCAGCCTATGATCTCTGTTTCCAGATCATCTTCAGCGGCTTCTCCCTTAATCATTGAATCTAGTATTTCTGAATCGCAAGATCTCAACTCAGCAATTATCATCTGCAACTTCAAAATTTTGTCTTTCAATACATCTCTATCCGCTTGAACATCTTTACAAAGTTCGGTTTTAGAATGTTAGCCGTCCTAGTAAAGACACTGCGTGCCGTTGCACGCTTTTTCTTCAATATATCAACATTCATTTTATCTTTAAATGCAGACCCACTTAAAACTCAAAATCTGTAATGCTATCCGACAAATCCTCAAAAACGTCTTTACTCAGCAATTCCAAAAATATAACTCAATATAATAAGAATGAATAACAATATGTCATAACATTCATAATACAGCAAAACAAAATTATTTTGAATATCTTAGCAGAAGATTTAACGCATAACCTTTTCTACGTTTACACTGCAGACGATTTAACGCATAGCATTTCGATTGAAAATTGAAACTAATTCGAATACAAATACGAAATTCAACATTGCAGACCATAAAACGCATTACGTTTCCAAATAACACTTAAATTAACATTTACTTCTACAATAATATAATATAGCAAACACAATACTTTCTCAACTATATTAATATAATAATCCCAACACATTCGAATCAGGATCGCAATCCTGGCTGGCTCGCCATTTTGTTATGTCGTGGAGCAAAAAAAATTTTACTTTACACCTGACTGCCACTGGTTCCGACATAGCAATGTGACTATTCTACATCTAAAATTTTAAACACCATTCCAGAATTTTTAAATGTTTATTAATAGAAGTCTATTCATATATTTGCAAGTTATACTCTATAAACACAATAACAAAAATTTAAACGTATCTGCACCAGCGTGAATAAGCCTGGCATAATATTCTGAACTCGACGCAACTTTAGGAGTTAAAATACAGCAAATTCAAACACAAGGGTTTTATCGTTTTCAACGCAGCTAATTTTCTAAATATATTTTACTAATATCCGCAGCGGGGCAGCGGATTCCATTTCATTCACCCAAAACTCAAATGTTATAACGCAATAGTATCGCAAAAGACGCAAAAAACCTCGACTCAAAATCAAAATTAAAATCTATAGAATATCATCCGCTGTTGCCATTCCAGCACTGCCAAGTTTTTCTTCCTGCAGCTGTTGCCAGACTTATTCTCGCTGTATCTGAGTGGTACAACAGATATGATTTCTGGTTTTCCTGAAGGTTCATCATTTTCACAAGAATGGTGCATCGATGATATTAAAATAACAGATTTTCTTTCTTTTGGGACATATGAAAAAAGCGTCATATCTTTAGTAAAACCATACAGAGAACTAGCCATTTTTCTTGACTTATTGGCTTTAAATTAGGGATTTCCTTTCTATCTCTTCTTAGAGTTCCCACAAATGTAAGTCCTTTTTCTTTCAAGATTTTTACAAGTTCAATGCATGAAAACCAATTGTCCGTTTGTAATGTTTCTATTAGTTGTTTGATTGGTTCCAAGAGGCGAAGAACTGCCTGTGTCGGTTTCTTCAATTGTTTTTCATCTTCAGACACACCTTCTCCATCTGAATATTTTCCACAGTAGATATATGCATGATACAGGTAGTTATTTCTTGCATCACAAAGGCACATAATTTTCATGCTATATTCGGCGGGTTCTTTTGGCATGTACATTTTATATTTACATCGTCCTCTGAATTTCCCTTATATCTCATCAATACAGGCGTATTCTCCAATGGAATAAATTCTTTGACAATTTTTTATGACTGTATTGAATATTTCTAAATTGGCTGTTGTTTTATCATTTGCTATATTTTGCATTCTTGTTTCAGGATTATCAAATCGTAAAGAATAGAGTAAAAATAAAAACCTTACTTTGGTAATAACGCAGCGAAATATTTCACGCCCTGGACCATCTCTTGCAAATAAACTATCAATATCTTCCCGAAATGATTTTAATAGTGCTGAATATAGTATAAGTCCGAAAAATGCCTTGATTTCAGTTTCATCAATATCGATTAGTTCATGTCTTTTAGAATCAGAATATTCATTCTGATTTCATTAATTTTAACATTACTCCATTTTACAATAATTCTTAGAATACTTTCATCAAAAAGTAAATCCAAGCTCCTTCGGGGTCGGCTTTAAAACCTATTTTTGCAGCATTTTTCA